CTTTTCAAAAAAGTCTGTAAAAGAAGTTTTCTACAATAAATCATTGAAAATATGTAAGTTTTCAATAGAATAAACTAGGGTTTGTAACCCCGCAAATTGCAGTGGAGATCCAGTGTTCATTTGAAAAAATAGTCCAAAATGCATAAAAACGAATATGAAAAAAAAAAAAAAAAAAAACGGAATTGTAAAAAAAACAAAATCTAAACTCTAAAAAAATAAATTTGGAGACTTAGATTCGATGAGGTATTAAATTCGTAAAAATAGTTAAAAGTTGGGCTACAACTGTTTTTACACTATTATAGAACCAAATTCATAACTAAATTTAAAAGTTAGGGTGAAGCACTAAGCCTAAAAAAAAAAAAAAACTTGGGAGACATGGATCCGGATTTGAACATCTAGGGGTAGGTAAATTCGGATCCATGGTGTTTGTTTAACCCATGTAAATAAATCCACTTGCACAAATAAAAAAGGAAGGGGAAGGATCCGAAGTCGAAACCCAAACAACTAAATTTAGATAATCTCCAACACATTCTTTTTTATTATTGTTTTTTTCAAAAAAATAAAGTAAAAAATTGGATAAATAGTCTTCTCCAGTTCTACTCTATTTTTTACTCTCAAAGTATATTCCTAGTATATTTCATTATTCTAACTTACATACATTATCAAACACACCCTTCTACTAATTTAGTTTTAACAAATATATAATGTATAATTTTTTTATTATATTAATATTAAATAAAAAAGATTATATTTATAATAAACTTATAAATAAATATTATATATGCATTTATAGAAAACATTACACATAAACACTTTTAAATAAATATTATACATACATTTATATAAATATTAGACATACACAATTTTAATTATAAGCTTTGTAAAATACGGTATCATTTTTTAAAATTTCAATATGTATTTAAATTTTTATATGAATTTGATGAAAAAAAACAAACTTTATATTTATAATTAATTAATATAATTTAATATATAACAAAATATTATAAATATTAACTATTATATTTAAATTATAATGAGTAGGTAAAAATGAAGTAGAAATATATAAATATATAAATAGAGAGATTAAAACCAACAACGTAAAGTTCATCCCCATTTTGAGAGAAATGAATAGTATAATACCATATTTGGTATAATAGTATTCATATCTTCCAAAATGGAGGAATAAATGGGGGAGAATTGAAGAAGAATGGGGAAGAAATTGAGGAAATGATTGGAAAATAAGAGTGGATTGTAGATGCTCTTAAAGCACTTGACTATTTAGGTGAGACAACTTTAATCAAAACTAGGCGAAAAATAAATATAAGTAAAAAAAGATTATTGTTCATCCTATCCCGTTAGTCTTTGGTAATTATATAAGTCATACAATTAGGGCTGTAAACGAATTGAACGTTCGGCGAACCGTTCGTGAACTGTTCGGCGGGAAGTTCGTTTATGTTCGTTTATTTAATAAATGAATGAACATGAACAAAAATTATCGTTCTTTTAGTTAAATGAACGAACATGAACAATGGTCTCGTTCGTTCATTTATGTTCGTGAACGTTCGTTTATGATGTTCATTTACGTTCGTTTAAGTTTATTTATATTCATCTGTATTCAATTATTTTTTATTATATTGTTATATTATATGTTCGTTTATGTTCATATTTGTTCAATTGTGTTTTTTTTATCTTTGTTCGTTTATGTTTGTTCGTTTATGTTCGTTTAGCATGTTCACGAACATAAATAAACGAACATGAACAAGAAAATCTCGTTCGTTTATTCGTTCGTGTTCGTTTGTTGTTCGGCTAACTTAAACGAACGAACATGAACAAGACCTTATTCGTTTTGGTTCGTTTACAGCCCTACATACAATAAACAAACACTTCTATATTTTAGAATTGTTTATAAAAAACCAGTAAAAATATAAATTATGAGCATTCTTTGTTTTGTTTGTATCCTGATATTAAATGGTTAAAATTCATTGAAAATTGTACAGCCGCTCACCATCCCCATATAACACACCCTTCCAAAACATAAATAAGGTGTTTTTAACGTATTAGTTTTTTATAAATTTATTTATAATTTTTGTTTGTAATAATTTTATGAAATATATTTATTGTGTTTTATATTTTCGTTAAGTTATACAAAATTTAAAAAGTCCACCTCCGACTTTATTTTTTTTTTCTTTCTCTTTAAGCAATTTTAATTTTGTCTTATTGACGTCTAGAGAGTCAAAAGGTCAAAAGGTTAAAATCCGATTTAGATAGTCTTAAAGATATTTGTTGTGTTGAATTGAACGGAAGGTCCATTTTTGTAAACTGTTAAAAGTACGGGGGCTAAAAGAGAACATTTCACCTCGTGAACGTGAAGGCAAGCTTTTTGAAATGGGGACACCCATGAATCATTTGAACATGAAACCCAGTGAAGGATAGAATGAACCATGGCACGATAGATTCTTTCCGATCAATCAAAGAGCAAACACCAATCAACCTACTATCGAATGAGGATTCCGCTCACTGATCAAATCCAGCTACAGAAACTCTGCTGATTGTATGTCGCAGTAGCGACCCAGTCCATCAAGCTTGATCGATTTTGTTTTCATTAGAGCAACATGAACTCTTCGTCATCGAACTCAAATAATGGATTCTCGGGTTTCAACGAAGCAAATCCCATTTTGGGGTTTAGTTCGCCGGCGTTGACGGCCTCCAGGAAGCCCGGTGCTGCTACTAGTTCAGCTTCGACACGGTTTTTGAAGGTGAGAAATCAAGCATCTTCTCATAATCATAAGTCTACTAATCCTCTAGGGTTTAACCAATTTACGAGCTCATCTGAAGCGGTTTTAGGCAATTTGAGTTTCGAAAATGATCCCAAGGAGACGTTCCTATTTGGTGCAAACAATTCCAATTCCAGTTCACATTGGAATCCGGAAAGGAGAGTTTCTAGCGAGATTTCCAATGTCATTCTCGATGATATGTTGAAAATGAAGATCGATTCCGATAAAGGTTATGCAAATCCAACTCAGAACAAAGCTGATGTCGACAAATCTTCAGTCGATGAACTGCCAAACGAGGTTAGCAAGTTGAAGATACACGATTCAACAAACGAAAGCCAGTTCATCGATTTTGTTCAATCGGAAAAAATGGGTGAGTTTGCTTTTACAAGCAAATTGGATGATCTAGGGGCTCCACAGGTAGAATTCAGAACACCAGACATGAGAAGTAACTTGTTTTCTGGGATGAATAGATTCGAAGCAAAGAAGGATTCTGTTAAAGACACAAGGTCAAAGAAAAAGAAAGACAAGTCAAAAAACTCCATTGTTGGTCATTCAAGGCTTCAAGAAGATTATGGGTTTACCAGAAGAAATCCATCTGAAAATCCAGATGCTTTTGAATTTGAAGCATACTTACCACTAAATAGTCCTCCATATGATGAAAAACTAGCTGATTTATCTAGATTATCAGGTATAAAGGGTCAAGAAGTTGATTTGTCTAACTTCTTAAGCAAAAAACGGGTCGACTTAAAACCAGTAAATGATCAAGCTTTTACTTCATCTTCCAGCAAAATAGCTGAGGACGCCTGTGAGAAATGGCGATTGAGGTGTGAGATTCTACACATTTTCATTTCTATTAATCAGCTAACAATGTTATGATGTTTCAAAGAACTAAGACGATGATTTGAATCAGGGGAAACCAAGCTTACAACAATGGCGAACTGGTTAAAGCAGAGGATTGTTATACACAAGGATTAAATTCAGTATCTGAAAATGAAAAATCTAGAAGCTGTCTTAAGGCTTTGATGTTATGCTATAGCAATCGTTCAGCAACTAGGGTTTCTCTTGGAAAGATGAAAGAAGCTTTACAAGACTGTTTAATGGCTTCCACCATAGATCCTAGCTTTCTCAAGGTCCAACTTCGAGCTGCACAGTAAGCCTTACTAACCTTATCTATTAATCTTATAAAATTTCATTGCATCATAATATAATATCTATAATCTGTTTACAGTTGTTACCTTGCTATTGGAGAAACTGAAAATGCAAAACAGCAATATACAAAGTGCATGCAACCTGGAAATGACAAGAAAGTAATAGCAGAGGCCTCTGAAGGTCTAGAAAAGGCACAGGTAATATGAAGTGTGAGTCAAATTACTTAAACACCCTTGAGCTGTGTATGTTTAAGTTTTTAACATCTTCAGTTTTTTACTTAATCAGAAAGTGTCTGAATGTATTAAGCAATGTAACGATCTTTCCCAAAGACAAGATTCTCAAGACTTAGAATCTGCATTGAGAGTTATGAATGAAGCTCTACAGATAAGCACTTGTTCAGATAAATTGCTCCAGATGAAAGCAAACACCCTATTCATGGTTTGTATTAAAAATTTAAAATTTTAAAATCACCAAACCTAATGGTCAATTCGGTCAAAGTTATATCAAATAGTGTTGTCTTATTTTGCAGTTGCAGAGGTATGAAGAGGTGATTCAGACGTGTGAACAGATCACTTCTGATGAAGCATCAAACTTGATTGTTAAATCATATTTTTATTTAGGAAAGCTAGATGATGCTCTAGAATTTATCAAAAAACAAGAGAATTCAAGCTGTATAATACCTTTATCTGATACAATACGTGAGCTTCTATCTTACAAGGTATGTTTAGTAAAATATACACAAACACTTTTTAATTTTTGCAAGTTTTGAATTTTTGATTTTGAATCATAATTTTATATGCAGAAAGCTGGAAATGAAGCATATAAATCAGGAAAACACACAGAAGCAATAGAACATTACACTGCTGCTTTATCACACAGTGTTGAATCACGTTCATTTGCATCAGTTTGTTTTTGCAATAGGTCTGCAGCATACAGAGGTTTAGGTCAAATCACTGATGCTATAGCAGATTGTAGCCTAGCTATAGCGCTTGATCCAAATTATCTCAAGGTTTGATTTTTTTTTTTTTTTATAAATATATTTGGAAAAAGACGATTATAACCCTGGTGATGTAAAACAGGCAATATCTAGACGAGCTAGCTTGCATGAGATGATTAGAGACTATGGACAGGTGGCAAAAGATCTAGAAAGACTTGTGTCTCTTTTAACTACACGTGTGGATGAAAAGGGTGTTAATGAGATAAAACAAACTCGGATTTGGCTTTCTAATGTTGAAGAAGAATCTAGAAAGGGAATCCCGTTAAACATGTACCTCATATTGTAAGTTCTTCTCAATGTAAATTTTACAAAAGAGTTTTGTGAAGTGATATGAATGTTTTTCAACTTTGTAGGGGAACTGAATTAAATGCTAATGCATCGGATATTAAAAAGGCGTATAGAAAAGCTGCACTTAGACATCATCCTGATAAGGTTTGTGTGAAAATTTGAAACATTTTAGTAAAAGTGTATTTGAACAGGATTGTGAAATTAGGGTTTATGATGATGTAGGCTGCACAATCAGTGGTTAGAAGTGATGATGGAGATGATGGACTATGGAAGGAGATAGCTGAAAATGTACATAAAGATGTTGATAGGCTTTTTAAAATGATTGGTGAAGCATATGCTGTGCTTTCTAACCCTCTCAAGGTAAAATAATAATAATAATAATAATAATAATAATAATAATAATTCAATTTCATACTTTTGATTTTTTTACTTAGTTTATTTATGATTACATTATTGGTTTTTGTAGAGGTCACAATATGATCATGATGAAGAAATGAGAAATGAAGGTCGAAGCTTTAGTAGAAGCAAGTCATCAAGAATGGGTACAGATGTCCAAAACGCTGTGTTTACACGAACTGGGTCCCACCACTAATGCATATTTGTGTGTGAGTTTTTTTTAATGTTTGAGTAATATGTATTTAATGTATTAAAAAAATATTGTACAATTATAACTCATACAAGTTTTTGGTTTGTGTAGTCTGAATTATTATTGTTACACATATATTCCAAGTCCGACCTCCTTAGGATTTGTTTCCACCATCCATGGAGCCCTGTAGACACAAACAACAAAAGTTATTTTTTTTATATATAAAACTGAACAAATACGAAAGGAAAAAAAAAAAAAAAAGAATAATACTTGTGCATAACGAAGTTAATTGTTCCTTGTGAAGCACGTTGAAGCAGAAGTTCACGAGCTTCAATGGCAATTCCTTGAGGCTATTGAAAATATGGAAAAACAATAAATGCATTATTTAAGGCATTTTACTTTGATGAATTTTTTTATTTATAAAAAAAATCATTTAAAAAAATACCTCTTCTGGAAACCATACACCAGGTTGTGTGCTACCTTCAAGAACAGCAAGAGTAAATGCAGCTATGGAAGTTCCAACTGATCTGCATACACCATTCATTCTCAAAGAAATTGATACACACAAAAAAAAAAAAAAAAAAGATAAATAAATAAATAAATTTAAAGGATATAAGAATTACACAGATAGTTTTTTATGACTGAAAACACCAATCGTATGCTTCCCATCAGAACACTCCAAATCAACCTGTTCATAAATTTACAATAATTAAAATTTAGGTTACGAAAATATAAATTTAAAAAAAAATTAAAAGATTTGAGAATAAGTTATAATACACGTAGTGAGACACGCTCTCCAGCATATCCATCTATAACGCGAACCACTGGATCAAATAACTTAACCATTTCTTCTACTTTGCTTCTGTCTCTTAAAAGTTCCTAACAACATTACAACAAAACATACAATTTTTTTTTTTGTTTTGAATTTAATTTTAATAAAAAAATAAAATAGATTGCAATCTTACAGAAGGAACAAAGCGTGTCATTGCATCCATAGCCCAATTCCAGAAAAATGGAGAAGTTCCAAATCGAGCACTCACACTTGGAATTCCTAGGGTTTCATGGGTACTTGTCACCTCTGGTAAATTCCTTCAAAAAAAATAAATAAATAAATAACAAAAATGACACGTCATGCCTCCATTGATGAAGCTTGAAGCATTAAATAAAACTTACAAGAGATACACATCTTTCTTCCCAATTCCTTTTCCAAAGTCGATGCTCATCATTCCACTATATGGTCTTAATTTCAGTTTTTCTCCTATATGATTTGATTACTAATTACTAATTAGCATCATAAAAAATGTATAATATTACAATGTTTTAACTTTTAACTTTTGAACAGACCTTTATTGAATGCAATAACCTCCTCTCCAAGAAGTAAAAAACTAGTGGCTAATATTGTGGGCCCAGCTCCACCTGTTCCTGCTGTATAGTAGTAGAATCTGAAAAAAAAAAAAAAAGTTATATAATATTTGGAAGTGTACAACAAAATAACTTAATTATAACTTAATTATCAATCATCAATAAATAATGAAGTACGAAAATACCTTAGGCGTTCAGGCTCGCCCTTATTTTCGGTTTTTGCAACACGAACTAGCTCAGCTGCCATCACTGTCAAAATTACGAAAATACCCCTCATCAACACAATCAAGTTTTATGAACTTTTTTAGTTATTATACAATCAAATGGTGTGTAAATTTACAATTGCTGACTCCAGGATAGATTCCACCAGTGGTTATTGCTGGAACTTTTGCAGCAATTGCTTCATTATTATATGCTTTTGCACGCAAGGCATAATATGTATCATCACACACATCAAGATAAGCTGTCTGAATATTAATCAAAATTATTAGTCAACTTAAATTAAATTCTACATACAATTAATCATATCATAGATTTGTAATTAGCTTTTACCTTGATCTCACCTTGGCCCGAATTGCAGCTTCCAGGACTCTGCAATCTTCTGTCTGTTGAAATGGGCCTGCAGCATGCACCACAAGATCGACATCTACAAAGGTAGAATATGAATCAAGGAATTAGATCAAGTAGGAGAAACAAAAATGTAATTTTTCATATGTTTTCGAAGAACAAACACACACACACACACACCATTTAAAGCAGATTCCAGTGATTTATCATCATTTATATCAAATTCAGCAAATTCGGCGTTCTTCCCGAGTGTTGTCACCATACTAGCACCTTTTTCCCTATCATGAAGCAAACACATGAGTATTAGCTATTAAGCCTATAGGGTTTGGAAGTAAAATAGGTTAAAACATCATGTGTCCTTTATGTTAATGGTACTTGAAGTAAATGAAAGTGATGCTTCTGGATTACCAAGTATACAATTTGATAAATGCACCCTGGCCTAGCTATGGCTAATTTTACTACAAAGCTATGATTATAAGGGGTAGATATGAAGATACACAGTACACAGCTAACTGATTCGATTGGATTTCTTTCTTCAATCGATTCTACCACAAACAACGAGAAGAAATTGTGTGATTCTACTTGCAGTTGAAATTGCTATGAACGTGCTTTGTTTAGGGGAGTTAAATTGAAAAAGAAGAATTAATAAATTATTGGGGATTGTTAATTGGAAATGGAAGCAAAACCTGTTACGACCGGCAATGGTGATGCGGAGGTCAGGGGAGAGCTTAGAGAGAGCGATGGCGGCAGAGCCACCGACTCTACCGGTTCCTCCTAGTATCAGAACCCTTGAATTGGCGGTTTCCTTTGGAGGTCCGGCGGAAGCCACCGTCGGAGTCCTGATGGCGCTCAAGTGGCGCATACAGGCACACGCCATATCTCTCCTACTCTATGTGTCTGCGCCGAGTCCTATCCAGAGTTCGTTACAGTCTCTCTAGTTAATAATAACGGGCATGGAATTAAATAGTAGTATTTAACTATTTAATATTGTAAATTAAATTACTTTTATTTTAATTTTATTCCTTCATTTTTTATGCCTATTAATCTATTATGTAAGAGGTAAAAGTTTTGTTGTCGGGAAGAAATGGATTTCGGTTCAATTTCAAAACAATGAAATCCTACTTAACATTAAAAAAATTGTACGTTTATAAGAAAAGGTTTAATTATAATGATTATAATGATAAATTTTGAAAATAAAAATCTGATGGAAATATAATTTATATTTTAAGGTTGATGAGTGTCAACATGGTGCTATAAGACTAAAAAATATCTAACATGCCATGCCATATATTATGCCTGAGCATTAACCAAACCCAAAACCAAACTATCGGCTTTAAGAAAATTTGATCCCAACCCAAAACCGATGGGTTTAGTTTCGAGTTTAATCGGTTTTAAAACCACAAACTTTAAACTTCATAACCAAATATCATCCATGGAATTATTAGGTTCGAACCAACCCATATCCGGTGAATGGATCAACCCACATCCAATGAATTCATTATATAGAAGAATATAGACAAAATTGCAAAAATAGTCCTTGTGGTATGCAATTTTTTGGGGTTTAGTTCAAACCTCGAGTTTTTTGGATTCATGGTCCTTTTGGAGTGGTTTGTATGTGAAAATAGTCCCTCCTAAAATTGAAATGACTATAATACCCCTGGGGTATTTATTTTTCATTTTTCTTAAAATTTAATATTTATTTATTTATTTTAACAATTAAAAAAATAATAAAGGACATCTCTCTCTCTCTCTCTGAGGTAAACATACAAGATCAGAGGCTGGTCAAAAACAATGATGATCTCTTTTTTGAGGATTTTTGTCAAACACCTTCTGTGCGAGATTCAACGCTCTACTTCAACATGTAATTTGTTAGTAGACGCATCCCATTTCTGATATACAACCCAAACCAATGAAAAATTTCCCTTTGTTACCCGGACTTCTAAAGATTCCCTGAAAATTGGACACTAAGATTGTTGGTATCTAAAAATAGAGATAATTGTAGTTGGCCTTAATTTTAATTCGAGAATATCTAGTAAATTCGTGCTTGAATCGTCACCCAATACATGCCTTTATTCCTTAATCCATCCTCTCAGACAACTCTCATGCCAGTTTGTTTCTGATCATCTCAGCTCATACCTGAAATTAAGATCACGTTACTGGTAAAAAGAAGATGCTATGGGAGGATGTCGACAGAGACGGTGATCAGTAGGGAAAGGTGGGAGGCTAATTATCAAAGCACTATGAAAATTGATAGAAAAAACAAAAGAACTTTCACGTGTAAAAGTTATCTTCAAGGTATAACAAAAGTGTAGATTTATATATTCTTGGACACTTTGAGAAGTTCACAAGGCTCCGACTCCGGTTTCACAATACTCTGGTGGGTTTGGTTCTTTTCGTGGTCCATCATCATCTCCCTCAACCACCTGTAACTTTGATTTTTGAATTAAGTTATGCTCAGTTCTTGAACACATAATAGGTGCATCTCAATTTATCCTTTTACCCTTGAATCAATTGGAGCAAATCACCAGAATACCTGTAGAGATCTCACCGGAGAGTTTGCCACTAGATGAAGATGAAGCAGCTGCTAGTAATGGAGGTGTGATGTTTTTTTGTTGTCTTCTATCCACTCCTTTCGTCTTCCAGGTCCAAATCAACGACCCTCTCTGATGTCTAAACCCCATTCTTCATATTGCACTTCATCCCCTCTCACCGCTTACTTCTGAAATCACCCATCAAGAACCCTTTGTACTTTCATTCGTCACCTGCAAATCACACAGATCCTCCGTCTCCCCCTTTAGTTGTATTAATAAAAAACCGAATCGAGTACCAAAACATTTCTCTTTCCTTTTGATAAACCTCAACACACCACCAATTTCGTTACTTTCATATTATCATCCTTTTTGCTAATCTGATTTTTAATGGCTTTGAGTTATAGGTGAGCGGGGAGAAGAAGATACGTGGGTTTTTTTTCTTAGCTGGAGAGAGAGAGAGAGAGAGAGAGATATGTGGGTCCAAATTAATTAATTGTTTTCTTTTTCATTTAAATTAAATAGAAAAAATCATAAAAAGTAAATCAGAAGGGCATTATAGTCATTTCAATTTACCGAGGGACCAAATCCGCAACGAAACTAGCTCAAAAGGACCACTAATCAAAAAAAGTTGGGGTTTGGACTGAAACCCCAAAATTTTGCATACCACAATGATCATTTTTGCAATTTTGTCAAGAATATATTAAGGTGAGTTTAATCATAGTATTTACTAAGAAGTTTTGTTCTAGTCGATGTGGGATAACTTTAGGATACTAGAAAAATAAAATTGCCAAGTACACTTAGCAAGATTCGAACCTTGATCTCTTGTGTATAAAAGACAATGGCTTACCAAGCCACGAAGAAGCTATAGATGTTCTTATTTCTCATAATATATTTATATAATATATATGTATAATACGTTTTTTATGTATTTAATAAACTTCGGTTTGGTTTGGCTTTTCACGGTTTCTTAAATTTATGAAACCGACACACACCGAAAATTTTGGTTTTTGAAAACCCCAAACCCAAACTGTCGGTTTCAAAGTCGATTTTGGTTTTTCGGTTTCGGTTTTTTCGGTTTTTTGGTTCGGTTTTACTAACCCCTACATATTACCCTCTATATTATAACACCATTATAGAAAGTTGTCACCGTATTATAACACTAAATAATTTTGATGTCAATATTTTTTAAAGTTTCTATATATATATATATATATATATATATATATATATATATATATATATATATATATATATATATATATAAATGTGGGACCTACCAAAATTAAGACTAAGTCTTAAAATACAATTAGAGTGGATTTGGGCCGTTGGATCTAATTTATATGATTTTGATCATATTTTAATGGTCTAAGATAATGATACTTGAGAATAAGAATTAATCAATAAAAAAATAATAGGATTATATGTTGAACTTTTACAAAAAACAGACACTTCATTATATAAACTCTAGCATTTTTATTATACCCTTACATGATTTCTTTTTATAGAAAGTACTCTCTCAAACGTAACCCTCTTTTCTCTTTCTTTATTTCTTTGTTTATGTTTTCGTTCTGCCTCATTATCTTTCTATACATCACCAGGTAGCACTTTCTTCACACTCATCTTTTCATGTCAAAATAAAAAGCAGCATAAGAAAATTCTATAAATTTATCGTTTGGTTATTGTACATGTTTTAAGCATTCAAAAGGTTCATTCTCCACTTTATTTAAAACCAAACTAGTGTTACTTTACTTTTGACCAGTAGCAATTTGATATCATAATGTTAGTCATTTTTATTGAACATCATTACAACCAACCTATCAAGTTTTCTTATGGGGTTGAATTTTGGTGGTGATATATTGAAAAAAGAGGTTTGCATGAATCTCTCTCCTTGATCAAGATGACTACTTGGTGTTTGGTGTTATGGAAGTAGGATTTTGTGTACTTGTGTCTCATGTTAAGAAGGATTTACTTTCATCTGTTGATAAGCGATAATAGTTCTCAGTTAAAGTTTAATAAACATACATATAATGTACTTGTGATTTGTGATTTGTAGATAACATTAGCTTCCTATTTCAATCCCAATATATTATTTATGATTTTAATTATTTTTAGTATTCAAATATATAAGAAAACAATCGGTTTCAAAGTCGATTTTGGTTTTTCGGTTTCGGTTTTGTCGTTTTTTTTTCGGTTTATTGGTTCGGTTTTACTCACCCCTACATATTACCCTCTATATTATAACACCATTATAGAAAGTTGTCACGGTATTATAACACTAAATAATTTTGATGTCAATATTTTTTTAAAGTTTCTCTCTCTCTCTCTCTCTCTCTCTCTCTATATATATATATATATATATATATATATATATATATATATATATATATATATATATATATATATGTGGGCCCTACCAAAATTAAGACTAAGTCTTAAAATACAATTAGAGTGGATTTGGGCGTTGGATCTAATTTATATGATTTGGATCATATTTTAATGGTCTAAGATGATGATACTTGAGAATAAGAATTAGTCAATAAAAAATAATAGGATTATATATTGAACTTTTACAAAAAGCAGACACTTCATTATATAAACTCTAGCATTCTTATTATACCCTCACATGATTTCTTTTTATAGAAAGTACTCTCTCTAACGTAGCCCTCTTTTCTCTTTCTTTATTTCTTTGTTTATGTTTTCGTTATGCCTCATTATCTTTCTATACACCACCAGGTAGCACTTTCTTCACACTCATCTTTTCATGTCAAAATAAAAAGCAGCATAAGAAAATTCTATAAATTTATCGTTTGGTTATTGTACACGTTTTAAGCATTCAAAAGGTTCATTCTCCACTTTATTTAAAACCAAACCAGTGTTACTTTACTTTTGACTGGTAGGAATATGATATCATAATGTTAGCCATTTTTATTGAACATCATTACAACCAACCTATCAAGTTTTCTTATGGGGTTGAATTTTGGTGGTGATATATTGAAAAAAGAGGTTTGCATGAATCTCTCTCCTTGATCAAGATGACTACTTGGTGTTTGGTGTTATGGAAGTAGGATTTTGTGTACTTGTGTCTCATGTTAAGGAGGATTTACTTTCATCTGTTGATAAGCAATAATAGTTCTCAGTTAAAGTTTAATAAACATACATATAATGTACTTGTGATTTGTGATTTGTAGATAACATTAGCTTCCTATTTCAATCCCAATATATTATTTATCATTTTAATTATTTTCAGTATTCAAATATATAAGAAAACAATGAGTTTCGGTTATTTGAGTTTGTTTCAAGGTTCAAATCTAAAATGTGAGAAATCAAATTGAGAAATTGAATTGTGTATAATCATTTGTACAACTATTTCCTTTAACAACTCTAGTCCATAAACAAACTCACTTCAATTTCACAATCAACATCGACATCTGGAATACATATGATCACAACCTTAATAATTCAGATCTAGTCGAGCCAAAACCCAGATCCAGAAAATAAAATTAACTTAAAAATATTCTAAATTAAATTTTTAAGAGTTTAAGTAATGATGATTCCGTTTGTTTTCACCTTACAACCGAGACCAGAGCCAACACCTATGTGTCATGGGCACCCTCATGGTCTTACTTGGAATGCCATGGGCACCCCTAACCAAGTACCATGGGTACCCCCATGGTCTTTACCTGTAATGCCATGGACAACCCCACATGGTCTTATAACCAAGTTTCATGGGCACCCCCAAGGTCTTTATCTGGAATGTCATGGGCACCCCCACATGGTCTTATAACCAAGTGTCATGGGTACCCCCATGGTCTTTACTTGGAATGTCATGGGCACCCCCACATGGTCTGGCATCCAAGTGCTATGGGCTCCCCCTGGGTCTTCCATGCAAGTATCACAATACAACTAGCATATCACGTACCACATAATCAACTAACATACCACATAACATGTAATGAGCCGGCCTTGGTGCCTTCGACCCATTGGTATGGTGAGTAAACTCATCTTAGTCTGCTAAATACGAAAGTTGTTCGCCTAACACTCCGAACCACCGGTGCTGAACAATAATACCATTATCCCAAAATTAGGATAAAATACAATCTAATTAAAGAACCCAATTACCTAAGCCTAAGTCCTTCCATAATGGCCCAATAGTCTTTCCTTTGCTAATGGGTTCAAAGTCTATGTCTAAAACTATTAATGGGCCACAAGGCCCAATAAGGCCCAACCAAGACAATCATGGCCCAAATAGATTAATCGGACCACTAACCCAAAATATAACTAGGCCCAAAACTGATTAAGGCCCAAAGAGTTTACATGCCCACACGAAGCCCAAAACCAACTGAGGTGTATACGCCAAGCGTACCACTTCAGTACGCTCAGTGTACCAAGTCCTTGGTTGTATGCACAATGTACGCTATATTACGTCCAACGTACAAGCAGATTATGCACCACTTCCATTAAGTGCCTAATACTTGATATTCTAACGTCTAATATCATATTTGAGCTCATTAAGACGTCCTAGGGCATAAAGTTGGTAACTTTATCCCCTTGCATGCTATAAGGGACTTCAAAACTTCATATAAAGCTTCAAACTCATGCATGGAGTCTAGATAACCTTCAAGCTAGCACTTATATGCATTTAGCATGCTCACAAAACTCAAATCTAACCATCTTAGTCTCTTGAGTTGCTCAACTCTCAAGAGAAGATCCAAGAACCAAGGGACAATATAGAAAACCCTAACTCAATCTAATGAATAAGATGGAAATATTAAGACTTTATACCTCCAGAAGCACCTCAAGGTGAACTAGATGCAGGTTCTTGAAGCCCAATGCCACACCAAGCTTGCTAACTAACTTCTTCTTGTTGAATAAGATCTAAAATGGCCACCAACACACTTCTATGCTCCAAAATCACACTCTCAAAGGAAAAATAAGGCAACAGGACGAAATGAGACTCTAGAGGCTGATTAGGGTTTGGTCAAAGTGGCTTAAGGATGAATAAATAGGTTTCAAGTCTGGATTTAGGGTTTTGCTCTTCTGTCGCATATGCCCCGCGTACCTCTTGGTATGCCCAACATACACAACCAACCTCCGCGATCATCCATCATTAGTACGCTAAGCGTATTCCTGAAGTACACCCAGTGTACTAAGGGAATAATATATTATAATTTATTATTTCAAGGGTGTAAATGGTATTTATCTGATTTGGAGTGTTACAACTGTGAAGGTAGGTTGTACCAGATCCTACATCAGCTTGGAATGAGAACAAAACATTTCCTTATAAGGGGTGTGTATACCTTCCTTATCATAACGCGTTTTAAAGCTATAAGGGCAGTATATCCCATAAGAACTTTGTAGTGAAGCGTGCCCAGGCGAGAGCAATCCAGGGATGGGTGACCCCCTGGGAAGTTTTCGCACCTGGAGCCCAAAATGGACAATATTGTGATACGTGCCAGAGGGGGGATGTTACAAATGGTATCAGAGCTGGGGCACGGGTCGATGTGTTCGACGAGGATGTCGAACCCTATAATGGGGGGGGGGGGGGGTTTGAAGGTAGGTTGTACCTGATCCATAACTTCCTTATCACAACGCGTTTTAAAGTCGTGAGTGCAACAGATCCCATAAGAACTCTACAGTTAAGCGTACCCCGACGAGAGCAATCCAGAGATGGGTGACCCATTGGGAAGTTTTCTTGCCGGGAGCACAAAGCGGACAATATTGAGATACGTGCCAGAGGCGGGATGTTACAATAATGGGGTTAATTTGTTGATTAATGTCACTTTGACAATTATTGAACAAATTAGTATGGTGCGGAGTGCATATTTGTTTAACATTATCTTTGTTGAAAGTATACTGCTATTTAGGGGCTTCGCCCCTGAACTGATGGGGGCCCGGGGGAAATGCCTCTGGGAGCGGGGTCCAAGGAGCGACAACCCCTGTCTTATATTGCTATATAAAAATGCCTTAGAAATCCAATTTTTTTTGGAATAAAATCAGTTTTGTGATCCTAGCTATAGACCCATTTTCATGTTAGTTTGTGACAGTTTTTTGGACAGGAAGTTTTTTTTCTATAACTACCATATGACAGTTTTAAGATAGGAAGTTAGTTCTTGTTATATGATCAATTTCGAAATCTTCTTGGGTATAGATGTCCGTACCATCTTCTTTATTCTCAATTCTAGAAAAAATAGTGAGTTTTATCCAATTAGCCTATGTTATTGACTTTGGTGATAAATGATATGAACACTTTGACTCATAGGAAATGATCAACACTCTTGCTGTCTTCTTTTCGTACGTTAATCATATGTCCTCTTATTTCATATGATGAGGCTGTAATTTCCTATGCATAGTTTTAATTCTTTGACTTACAAAAGTTGTCACATATTCTATAGACTAGTTGTGCTCTCTATAGTGTTCTTTATATGCTAATGCTTCTTCTTTTTGAACAACATGGCTCGTTACTTCACTTGTCATTAGTCAATGCATATAACTATGCCGGTTTTGACTTATGGATCATAGGATCTATCCACAAACTATGTCATCTTAAAAATACTTGGAAAAATCATAAGTTAAGTGCCTCAAAATTTTTACAAGGCTTAAATTTGGAATATATTATTACTATTACTTTTTTAATATATATATGTAAATATCAATGTAGATAGATCTGAAAATATAACATATAGATATCGATATTTTTTTAAAAATAAAATTGACTAAAGTATTTATTTAAATAAAAGAAAAAAAAAAAAAAAAAAAAAAAAAAAAACAGATAATAATCTCCAGTCTCCACGATTTAACCCTTTATACACCAATATCCCCCTTCGCCCACCCAAAGCAAAGTTTGCCCCCCTTTTCACTTTCCAATCGTTGAACGCCAAAATTTCAGGTAGAGACAAAAACCCTAATTCTCCATCATCATCATCATCATCATCTTCATCTCGCATATACATACACACATATAATTATAATAATCCCATTGCGCAGAAATTTATTGATATTTGCCCTTACATTCATATGTCTTCCATTGCTGTTCTGCTCCATCATCTTCGTGCTCGTAGTGCCAGTAGTTCCTCCCAAAAACGGCAGTCTTCTGTTTCACTTTCACATCATGGTCACCACTTCTCCAGCTTCTCATTGAGCTTTCGTCCCTTCTTATCTCCTCGAGATGACTGACCACAACGTAAATTCCTTCTCTTCTTTCTCTATCTATACTATATGTATTTTCGATTTTGTATGCGATGAGCTGTATTTTATGTAGTATCACTGTTAGTTACTGCTTCTGTTGATGATGAAACTGTTAGGGCTTTTATTTTAGGTTTAATTTGTACGATTGTAGAGTGTCACTTCATCTAGCCCATACACAGAAGTAAAATTCCAAATTAAGTTATTCGCATTCTTAAAAGATAGTATATTAGTTTATATATCTCTAGATTCTTAGGTTGGGAAAAGTTAAAAAGGTTACACTTTAATGATTGTAGAACCTAGTAAGTTTCATATACTTTTGAGAATCCATATCAATTGTGTTGTTTGCCTTTATTATCAATAAAACATATATATCTTTTTACAAACTTTCAGGTGTTCGTGTTTGGATCATTTACAGAGGATGAGATCAAATCCCTACAAAGTACCTCAAAACAGAATGATGTAGAATTTATGTTTGGTTCTTTGGACTCTGCAACTCTAAGATCTGTGGGCATCTTCAAAAACAAACCAAATGTTACAGAAACTCCCAAAAACCACCAACCATCAAATTCAAATCCAGTAAAGAAAAGTAACAATGATGAAATTGTTCATGCATCATCATCATCATCATCATCATCACGAACACCTGTTGCAGTTGTAAATAAAAATGGAAACATCCATGATTCAAGCTCTCTTTTCTATAGCAATGGTGTACAAGAACAGGAACCAAAAAATGCACAACTCCCTGTATCATTTGTACCTGAAAGCATTGGAAGTGAAACTTATGTGGAGTCCTTTGAAGCTCTGAACTTGATAAATCCCAAAAATAACCTTATCACTGCATCAAATGGTCTCCATAAAGCTGCAACAGAGTTACTCCCTCGAGGCTTAGTCAACTCTGGAAATTTGTGCTTTCTAAATTCAACTCTTCAAGCTCTTCTTGCTTGTTCTCCCTTTGTACATCTCTTACAAGAGCTAAGAACACGCAATATACCTGAGGTAAACTGTAATAACTATCTTCATTTTTGTGATTATGAATTGTGATATATTATTAACTTTTGTGTTTTTACCTTATTTTAGATTGGTTACCCAACTTTACATGCATTCGTTGAGTTCATTTCTGGATTTGACATGCCTTCTGACATTCACTCAAAGAAGAAAGACAACATTCTTCTAGAAACTGGGAAACCTTTTCGACCTATCATGTTTGAATCTGTTTTAAACAATTTCTCTCCAGATATGCCAAACAGCTTCTCTGGAAGACCAAGGTTTGTGTTAATGCTATAAAATTTATATATACATCGTGTTTGGAATTTCGGATGCTGAGTTGAATTTTGTTTTTTTAAAAAGGCAAGAAGATGCTCAGGAGTTTTTAAGCTTTGTAATGCACCAAATGCATGATGAGCTTCTTAAACTTGAAGGAGAAGGTTGTAATTTCAATGGTGGAAAAGTTTCATTGGTTTCATCTGTAAGCGATGAAGATGATGATGAGAGTTGGGAAACAGTTGGACCAAAGAACAAAACTGCAATCACAAGAACACAAAGCTTTATTCCTTCAAAATTAAGTGAGATTTTCGGAGGCCAACTAAAAAGTGTTGTGAAAGCAAGAGGTAACAAAGCGTCTGCAACCATTCAGCCATTTCTTTTGCTCCATTTGAATATATGTCCAGATCCTGTGCATACAATAGAAGATGCACTTCATCTTTTTTCAGCTCCAGAGACACTTGAAGGGTATCGTGCTTCATCAGCAGGAAAGGTATTTTTCTTTTTCAAGATTGTAAATTTCATGAATATCTAATTTTTTTTTTTTTTTATATATATATCTGATTATCAGGCAGAGTTAGTAAGTGCAAGTAAATCAGTGAAAATCCTAGAGCTTCCAGAGATAATAATACTACACTTAATGAGGTTTAGCTATGGAAGTCAAGGAAGCACAAAATTACTCAAACCAATCCACTTTCCTCTTCACCTTACTCTCAATCGTGATCTCCTTGTTTTATCATCGCCAGAGGTATGTATTTAGTATTTGTATAAAATATATATGTATCAATTAATTTTACCTTTTTTATTAATTTAAAAAAAAAACAGGGTCGAAGATATGAGCTGGTGGCAACGATAACTCATCATGGAAGAGAGCCATGGAAGGGTCATTACAGTGCTGATGTGTTGCATGAAACAAGTGGGAAGTGGTTGAGATATGATGATGCTTCGGTTGTTGCAATTTCTACAAACAAAGTGCTTCATGATCAAGCGTATGTGCTCTTCTATAGGCAGATGTATTAGTTTTTGTTTTACACGTTTCTGTTTTAAGAGGTTATGGTAAAAATTTATATGGCTTCTTTTTTGGGTAAATCTTTGTGTATGGTGTTATTATTATGAATCACGCTATCTTGGTTTATTAAAATGAGTTATTTTTGTTACTTCGTTTAATTAAATAATATAGTTTCTCTCCCACACATCCAAGAACCTTAGCGTTGATCTTCCTTCCGTCTTTGTTTTAAGAGGTTGATTTTATAATGTATATTATGGACATGATTAAGTACCATCCACCAAACCCTAACATTAGAAGTGCCATTTAGGTCGAACAAGTCTTGTTCATGTCGCTTTCATGCTCCAAAAATAGAAATAAAATAGGGAAATTAAGTAATCTAACCACAATTTAATGTTTATTTGAAAGAGTTTCCAAAATAATTTTTTTTAACATTAATAACCAATTGGTTTGGAATGAGCATTTTGGATCAAGAAAAATACGTTTTCAGATAAAAAAGTACATTTTGGATTGTTATTCCGGACTAAAGTTTCAGATTTCGAAAAAAAAAAACTCTAGAATTCAAGAACAAGTCTGGAATCCGATGAAAAATTCTAGAATTTTTAAAAGAAATTTGACTAAAGTTTCAGATTTCGGAAAAAAAAAAAAAAAAAAAACTCTAGAGTTCAAGAACAAGTCTGGAATCCGATGAACAATTCTGGAATTTTTAAAAGAAATTTGTTTTTTTTACTTAAATATAACAAAAATGTAAACAAACATAGTAAATATGAACTACATAATATTAGTTCATAAAATCATACATTTTATTGAAAACGGTTATATTAAACACTCCGAAATGAAAATTTCAGACATAAAGTGGAAATATTTCTTTCAAAAAAAAATTAAAAAAAACTAAAAAATAAATCCAGAATTTGAAAATCAAACCTGAAATAGAACCTTCAGAATAGAGAGCATTCTTTGATAAAAAAAAATTGAAAAGTAATCTGGAATATAAATAATAGTCTAAAACGAAGCATTTAGCAAAAAGTGGATGTTTTTTCAAAAAATAAATTATTTAGAAAAAAAACTCATTTATATAGGTTAAATTACTTAATTTCCCAATAAAATAACCATTTTCTAGTGCTTTATCAGAAAATAATCATCCTCAACATTTACTTGTTTAGGACTTTCACAACCTTGCATCATCTATTCAAGAAGGGTCCAACTTCATGCATACTAATCTATACTAACCTATATTATCATCATACACCATTAGATTTACTTTTAAGTTATTATTATCATATAATTAATATTGATTTTACTTTTTAAGTAATCATTACCATATAATTACTATTTGACTTATTTTTATTATTATTCATTATAACCTAATCAAAAAACCATTATTATTTAATAATTACAATTTTATTATTAACCTTATTAATATTAATAACTTTAAATTTGTTTTTTATTAAGATAAATAACAATAATAATATTATTTTTTTGAATATAATAATATAAATAATATTATAAAAACAATTCTATATAAATTTTCATCAACCAATGTAATATCATTGATAGTATAAATAATATTATAAGAAAAATAATTTAGAAACAAATCTTCATCATTTTTTTTTTTAATTTTAAATATTACATAACAAAATTCCGAGACAAAAATAAACAAGTAATCATCTATAGTTATAAAAGATCTTTTCATAGGTCTAAGTAGCTTATAAAATTCTAGACACGACTTATACATAGTTTGCGATTTCGACATCGTCTAGTGTTTCCGGTAGTGTCTAGTGGAACAACTGCCGACTCACTTTCAATAAGCAAACAGTCTGACAAAACACTTATTCGATCTTCTTGGCCCTCATCCATGAAATCTAGAGACTCAATTACAGTTGATTTTGTCTCTCATCCATGGCGGCAACATAAATACTCCAATAAGGAAAGGTAAATATTTAGGACAAGTTAAGAGAAAGAGAAAGAACTTACAGCGAATGCTCCGATAATGTATTTTCGGCAAGAAATGATGGCTCCGATGATAGATATTTAGGTTCCTAAAGTATTTCCGGCGATATATGAAGCTTACAGTTTATCTTTTGTGAAATTTTTTCTAAATGTAATATGAACAGTAAAATTTATAGGTGTAATATAAACTTAAACTTTATAGCTTTTTGTATTTTTGTTTGAAAATTTAAATTGACAGCTTTCTTGAAAATATCAACTTGAATATATGAAAAATTGGTAAATAAAAAAGAAGTCAGAGTCAAACAATAGGTTAATAGTAATAGACTGGTGTGTAGTAGGGTTTAAGTAAAATTTGAATTTTTTTAGATGATAATAATAATAATAATAATAATAATAATAATAATAATAATAATAATAATAATAATAATAATAATAATATTATTATTATTATTATTATTATTATTAAAAGATAACAATTAATTATAATTTTTTTTAACTTTAGGTTTAAGTTTAGAATGAAAAAAATAATAATTAGTAAAGTGGGTAAATTGTGAACATACATGGATAAAAAAGTGAAATAAAAAAAAAATAAAAAGAGAAGATAGGTTTTATGGAGTAAACTTCAAATTTGAAAAACCCAAATATCACTACTGGCATTTGGTGGTCAATAATAATTCAGGCTCAACTTCAAAAATGAAAAAACTGAAGTCATCTTTAATAAAAGAAAAAAAATGCGGAAAATGTGTCCAGACTCCATACGTCTCCAATCAAAATTAATCAAAACTCATTGAGTAATTAAAAAGCCCTATAAATAGATTGGTGTGTAACTGCCCTATAGATAGTTTGGTGCGTGAAAAAAAAAACATTGATTTTATTATTTTTATTTATTTTTTATATATTTAAAATTTTTTTTGGATAAATTAAATTACGAAAAAATATATTCTAAAAAAGAATTTATGGATTTTTCGTTTTATTTTTCAATTTATAATTTTTTATTTTTTAAATTAATTTTGTAGTAGTATTTTTATTTTTTTGACCTCCAATATAAATGGTTAGGATGGTATCCAATATCTTATAAAATTAATAGTCTCTCCTCTCTTTTTCTCTCTCTCTTTATGTGTGTGTGTCTCTCTATCTTTTCTCTCTCTCTCTCTTTTATATATATATATATATATATATATATATATATATATATATATATATATATATATATATATATATATATATATATGGGTAGGTTCATGTAAGACGGTCTAATTTTGTGAGACCGTGAGACGCAATCCTAACCACTCATTTAGTAGCTAAAAAAACATTTTTAAAATACATAAAAATTGAAAATTTTTGAAAATTTTTTTTCAAATATTATTTTCGGAATCTATATTTTCCAAAAAAAACAAAAAAAAAATATTTTCTTACATATTCTAGTAGAATATTAGAATATTCTCCATATATGACAAATCTAATAGAATATTCTAACATTCTAAAAATCACATTAGAATATTTATAGTGTAATATTCTATTAGAATATTTCACATATTAAAAAAAAATGTATTTTTTTTAATTCTTTTTAGATAATTAAAGTTTCGAAAATAATAATTAATAAAAGAATTTTTGGATTTTTCCTTTTATTTTGCATTTTAAAATTATTTTTACATTTGGTCTTACGGTCTTACAAAATTAACATGGTCTCAAATGAACCTGAACAAATATATATATATATATATATATATATATATATATATATATATATATATATATATATATATATATATATATATATATATATATATATATATATATCACGTATGTTGTAGTAGCTTCGATTTGATTAACATGATTTGGTTTTGAAGTCTTTATTTACACTCAATAACTCTATAAAGTATAAACATACATTAAACCCATGTAGACTCTATAAAATATAAACATACATAACACCCATGTAGTCTCACCAGGAGCTGATATGTCAAGAGAGCATGATGCAAATTGAGCTTGATGCTCTGGACATGATCTTGTCTTTGTTAGTCAAATTCTAGTAGTTTCTTGAATGATGTCTTTTCCCTTTTCTTATTTAGTAAATTTCTTTACAATATTTATATTCTCCTAAAGAATGATTTCCTTTTGTTCAGAAACGCTTTATGAAATTATCATCAAAGGTTTCTTCTAATTTGAAACACAACCATCAGAAGAAGAAATCCATTATTTTCAACATTGTAAGAACCTTCATCATTTCTCCAAAAGATTCACTTGTCAAGAAAATTTGCTAATTCTAAATAATAGAATTGCTTTGGAAGAAAAAAAACATTTTATTTTGAGATGGGTCTATGGCACAAAATTTTTTATAATTGAAAGTTGAAACAACAAGTTATAATATAGCAATTCAAGGAACATCATTCTTTTCCGGTATTTAAACCTCATTTTATCCCAAGCTTATATTTTTTGGTTTAATTTTTTCGAAACAACCAAATATATTAGAAAAACAAATCTAGCAAAAAGCTAGAAAAAAAAAACAAGAATTACAAAAGGTCTAAGGGCGTTGTAACCAACAAACCCAGTTTGTAGAACATTTACTATTTCCATTATAAAATCACAAAAAAAAAATTATCGAATTCATCATAACATCTTTTCTAATCTTATTCCACAAGCATTTTCAGATGCTAAAATTGGGGGATGTGGGTTGGATAGAAAGAGTATAACTGGAGGATGTCAATTTCTTGATGGAAAACTTATCAGTTGTCAATGCAAACCTGTATCTCCTTGTCAACACCTGAAGCTGATTATATCGATGCTGCATCATGCACTTCCCAGGTCATATGGATTAAAAGTCAACTTCATGACTATGGCCTAAACATGAAACAAATCCCACTATATTGTGACTCTAAAAGTGCCATTTGCATTTGTCACAACCCAATACAACACTCAAAGACGAAACGCATCGCACTGTGGTATCATTTTATCAAGGATTATGTGGAAGATGACAATGTTGAGATACATCTTGTACGGTCCGCTGATCAGTTAGCTGACATATTCACGAAAGCCTTACCTGAAACGACCTTCGTCAGAATACTTCAAGGCCTAGGATTGATGGAAGCTGAATCAGTTCCGAAACCACTTTCGCATTCATAAAGTTGTCACTGCGAATTGGTGTGAACGCTCGTGGTGATTCGCATTCTACTTTGACACCACGAATAGGTTCGAACGCTCGCAATGATTCGTTGTCCACTGTTCATTCGTGGTTCAGATCTTCTTGTATCCTTTTGTATATCATGTACATTATTGTCTATCCTTGTTTCATTTTTTAATATCTTTCTATTTTTATTTCTTTTTCAGAAAATTTAAAATTTCAAAAATATTTTATTTTCTTTTTCTTTTTATTTCTTTTTCAGAAAAACAAAAATACAAAAATATTTTTCTTTGTTTTTTAATTTTATTTCTTTTAGTTTCATAAAAATTATAAAATACAAAAAATAGTAGATCACTGAGAAGCTCGTGCAGGCACACATTCGTAGTCATTCTCAAGTCATAAGCTAGGAAAGGTATAACTCTCTTCACTTACGTACTTATATTAAGTTTTGGAGTTTGGTTGAATATGAAACCACCCTTAAAGCCTAATAAAAGATTCCTTTTAATGTTTCTTATCAAACAATCGAGCGTATTTCAACGGGAAACCACCCAAACACTTCTTAGTCTCTCTTGACTATGAAGGAAGAGATATATGCCTGGGATCTAACAGTTTCATGTCTCATTATACATCACTAGAATCCCTTAGAATTTATTGCTTTATTTCCTTATCTTTGGCACACTCATGCACGAAGATCCAAGTGATTTTCAAAAAATTTGGTTCGTGGCTTTATGAGTACTTTTAGTTTCGCAGGTTGATCACAATGCGAAAGTTCCAATTTCATTGCGAAAGTATTAACAATGCAATGACTGTGAAAGGGTGCATTTGAAACGACTGTTTTTAAAGGATAAGATCTGATTTAGGTACGTGATGATTTGAACGGACGCCTACTTTACCACTGCTTAACACACGTCTTTGACGTCACAGCTGTAAGTCACGTTTTTCCAAGCGCCTTTTCAGTTCCCGATAACTCTCTCTCCGGATTTCTCTCACCTAACAAATGGTATAAATTGTTTTGGTGCTTCATCTCTCTTCACGACTCATATATTCTCTCAAAGATTTCCAGCGATCAAAGAAATCTACTATTCATCTTTTTTCTCAAGTATTCAACAATGGCAGGATCTTCTTTCACAATCAAACAACACAATCATCCCTTCTCACTATCAAGCCAAATAAAAATTTGGTGCTCTATCTTGATCCTTTCAAATACGACAGCTATCTTCTTCCAATCGTTGAATGTTTGAAGTACTCTCCTCTTGTTAGTGCTTTGACAAAGATGGAGAATGTTTCGATGTCTCTTTTGTCCAAGGCTTATTTTTCTGCAAGTTACATCAAGGAAGAACAGAGGATCACATTTGAAATCCACAACAGACAAACTTCAATCACCAAATCTCGATTCTGTTCTATTTTAGGGCTTCCTTAAACCAACGACATGATTAATCCAGAATCGATCACCAATGTAGCCCTATTGGAGATGTTTAATCAAATGGTGTACAAAGAAACCCTAAATTTCATCTCAAAGTTATGGAAACCTAATTTAACACCACAGTGGAATGGCCTCTTTACCCTGTTGTTCAAGGCCTTCTCTGAGTGAGTCATCGGCTCCGATTGTGCAAGCAAGCTCTTTATGGAGATTATCTATGGGGTTTACATAGGACTCAATGTCGATTTTGGGCTTATTTCTGGCATCAAGTCATTCAGAGCACCCACTCTACTACCCATCACAGTGAAATCTCCTGTGCACGCTTCTGGACAGTCATTGTTTAGAGAGCAATCGAGATGCTCCATGTTCCGGTGATGCAGGACGTGTCAGTGGATACTATTTCAACTTTTCACACTACTGGGATCATTCTTGCTGACAACTCAAAATTCTCATTTGTGGGTTCGATTCTAGAGGCAATGTTCCATGATGTGCCTGTAGCAAGCAAAATTCTTGAAGGCTACCAAAAACTTCATGTTTCATGGTTTCGTCCCTTAACTCTAGAGATGCAATCCATTATTGCTGAAGCAGACAAGCCCAAGAAAGGAGGTCAAAAAGGGGGTAAGAAATGAGGTCGGAAAGGGGGAAAGACAAAGGGTACTCAAGAGGTCCCATCTGATCAAACTCAAACCCCAAAGAAATGAAAAGGTCAGATTGGTCCACCTGCACCAAAGAGGCGAAAGGTCAAGAAGCCGGATCGCAAGCCCAAGTCCCCAACTCCAATTGAAAGCGAACATTCGCATTCTGACACTCAATCACATGTTCGCCTTGAGGAGGATGAGACTGATCACAACGAAGAAGTTACATTGAACCCTGAGGTAACTCCAACTTACAATGATTTCTTTCCATCTCCTCCTCATTCACCCAAAACCATCACCACACCAATAACTATTGCACCATCCCCCCCCCCCCCCAACTGTCTCTTCTCAAACACAGGGTACTATTCCTCTATCTACTCCATTATTTTCTAATTTCGATACTCCACCAACAACATATGTATAACCTCTTGTTTCTATCAACGCATCTGATGCAGACGCTGACACTTCAGGTTTTACAACTACTCATATATCACCACCCATTTCCCCACTTCGCCAAAATGACCCTGATATGATTTATGTGGATGGTGAAGACGGCTTTGCAGGATTCACCTTTAGTCCATTCACCATGAGGACTCAAAGCAATGACGAAGCTCCAGTAACGAGAGGGCAACTCAAGGCCATACATGAAAAAATTAACATATTGCTTCAGGCTTCAAAGGAATCATCTCATGACGATTATTCTAAAGCAACGGTCAGTCACTCTTCAAGAACCTAACGAAAGAGCACTCAGAAAATCTTGAGAAGATGAACAAAGTTGTCAATGCTTCTACCTCTGTTTACAACAACTCGACCAAAAAACTCGATAAACTAATCACTAATGCTACAATGTTTATGGAGAAGTTTCAAAGTTATTTTGAAACTAACATCGTAAAGGCCAATGAAGTTATTTCTAATCTGGGATCAACCCTCAAAACCAAAAAGGAATAACTTCAAGAGGTTCGCACCAGTCTGAAGTCTGACCATGAAACGTTCCAGTCATCCATCTCTTCTCAAATCTCTAAGCTTCAGACAAAATCGCAGTAAAGAGTAAGATAATGGATTCCCTTGTAGTAAAGAATGAAAAATTAAAGTTCTGACTGTCAAACTAGAACAGGCTGAGAAACAAGTCAAGGATTTGTTATCCGAGAGAGCAGTTATCAAAATCTGTATCACCGATATTACTGTCTTACTCTCGAATATCATTGAGACTAGGGACTCAATGATTACCATCACAGTTAGAAAGCATCTTGCTGAAAATCTCAGTACAGTATTTGCGATGCTTCATCTACTAGAAGGTGTTCCGGAATCCAGCAACATTCCGAAACAAGGGGGAGATCAACCCAAGAAGACTTTAGCCAAGCCAATCGTCAAAATCGAATCTGAGCCTAATGGAAAAGAAAAGTTTTTCTATGAAGAACCAATCATTGATAACAGTGAGGATGAAGAGCTTGATGAAGATGAACTTAAAAAGAGAAAGGCTAGTGAAGCAAAATTGGATGAACATCAAAGGATTGTTTGAGAGGCTAAAGCAAAAGAACAAGCAGAAAGAGAATCTCAGGTCACACTTGAAAGCAAAAAGCTCTTATTTCTAGTGTGGATGTTGCAACGAATTCAAAATGAAGTCGTGGACTCACCGAGTCAATATTGTCCAGAACCAGTTGTGTCATTCGAGCTACAAAATACACAAGACTCCCAACTAGATCTTCCAATAACTCATAAGGCCTTCAAGTTTTTCTCTTTTGTAAGAGTTGCAAATGTAGCATCCACTGATAATGGTGCTGACCATATGCTATTCTCGTTCTATCTCAAGCACATGAAGCCACAATATGAAACGTGGAGTGCTAGCAAGATAAATACAATAAATGTCACACGTCCAATTGAGAATAATAGCTTCCCGAATGCAAATTTCAAGGTTTTCATAGGTTCTACAAGTCATGTTCACGAATTCACTATCACAGACTTGCCTTGCCTCAATCCATATGACTAGATCGTGCTTTACAACTTACTGTTGAGAGACAGACAGAAGTACGAGCCCGTTATCGCTCACCTCAAGTTGACGATTTTTTCGTATACTCAAGAGGTGGGAAAATGGATGTGGGGATAGTTGTTGTGTTGCGAAAGACGCCCTCTGATGTCCCTAAAGAAGCTCCGGAAGGATTTGAGACGTTAAAGCTAGGGAAAATTTACAAAGAAGGTTGGTATGTGGTATTTCAAGAGAGAGAACGAAACGATGCAGACTTTCACAAAGCATGTTTCTTCCTCCCGGATAAACATTTATACACTACTTCATGTCTTGAATTTATTTTGGACCTGGTCAACAATTCAAGGGCAACAGAAAGAGTGACAAAAAGTGCTTCTCAGACATGATTCAATGGTACGTCCAGGTTCGCAAGGCACTGCTAAGCATAATTCCAAAAGTCATTGAAGTGCAGAAGAGAACTCATCCTTGATGAACTCTCACTCAATTGACGCAAATGGGGAGATTGTTGATATTATTATGTTGCGTCATTAGGCCATTCAGTTTGCTTATTTTGTAAACGGGTTGGGCCTGTCCTCCCGTATTTTATTTCTAGGGTTCTAGTATTTAAGGTGCAAGTATGCATCATATTTTGGTAACTTTGATTATATTCTTGTAACCCTAATCATGCCGCTATAGTTTCAATTCTTAATCGAGTTCTTCTGAGGCTGTGACTTTTGAATCATTCAGCATATTTTGATTTATTGTCCTGTTCTTGCTTTAATCTGTTTTGAATCTTATCGATCTTTCAAGGATTATTATCCTAACAGCCGACACTGATAATTCAAACCTTCTTGTTGTGACAAATTTAGAATCTACTATACCCTTACCTTTATGTCTCAAAAAAGTCTACTAAGCATCATCCCTACCACAAGCTACATCCTTCGACAATGACTGAGCCCACAACACCATCAACCTATAAATACGGAACACACATTAAAGATATATTGCTCCTCAATCCTTCATTCTAATGAGATGGCCCTACCCCACTTGGAAATGGCAAGACTTTGTTGATTTCCTTGATCACTCAAAGCCGTGAACCACTCTAAACAATTATATTAGTTTGGATTCCAAGCGACCATTAATAATGTGAAACCAAATAGTCCTTCGAATAATTAACTCCTCCTTATAACCTTTATCAGACAAGAACATGTACTAAGGTTAAGTGAAATATTCTAAGATTATGGTCTTCCCAACCATGCATAACACTCATTAGGCTTAAAAGAGCTTTTAAGCGTCCTTCCATCGACCCTTAAGTTTCTGAAAACAAGCAACCTAACAAGCAACTCGCTCCATAGTGATCAAAACTAAAATAGGAACGAAGTTGACTAAAGCATACCATCCTTCAAGAGTACCAAAGATTAAAATAAGACATCATAAACATAAATCAAAACATACCAAAGACATCACAAAATACTGCTCTCGCATCCTTTATAGAAATCTAAACAACTCAAACCCTGACCCTTGGAACCTCCACCATCCCTTGACATCCATCTGGAAGTTTACAAGCTATACCTGCTATATCTAAAACCATCCCTCTTACTCATCTGGGATAATCAGCTTTGAAAGGACCTAGCTGACTACAAAGAAAACACAGTCTCATCTATCCCTGTTTATAGTCCCTGTTGAGAATTAATCTCTAGATCGTTTAGATCTTTCACAGGTATGTTGATAAAGAACAAACAAATCAATCACAATATGACTAAGAATATAGAATCAATATGAAGCTTATGATTCAAATATAGTCACACCTCAGAAGAGCTCGATGAAGAACTTCCACTGTAGAGGCGAACTAGGGTTTACAATACTTGATAAGAAAGATAATAAAAACGTTACCGACTAATGATGCATGCATGCACCTTATATACTAAAACCCTAGAGTAAAATAATGCACGGTTGGACAGGCCCAAACCGACTACAAAAAATGGGCTAAGGATCGAGCCCATGACGCAACATTATAAGCCCAACAATCTCCCCCTTTGTGTCAAATGAGGCAAGAGATTATTTCTGTTGAGTAGGCTTCACTGTCTTCACAACTTGGAACAACCGATGAATGCTAGCAAGAAGTGTCTGCCAAAATTAAATATACCATCTCAGCATGTCAGTAAAAAATGTATTGTCAGCTGCAGAATTCTAACTACACCTGTGAATGATCTCCAAAATATGCTCCAAGCAAGCAGTTGAGAACAGGTGCTTGTCAATAAGAGCGAACAGACATTTTTGACCTTCGCCCTTGACAAACATCACAGTGTGATACTGTGTGCCAAAATTTCCCTTAATCATGGTGTTTATATCACCCACCCTTCCTATTGCTCTGATCGTTGGTCGCTTATGAATGGCAGATGCGATTTCTTGATCCATTTTCGCCACTTCATAAATGTAACAAACAAGCATTTGCTTGATGTGGTCGATGATCGGTTGATAATCTTGTGGATTTCACAACAAAATGTTGTTGAGGAGTATCCAGTCGTGAGGATTAAGGTTGGGAAGATCAGCAAGGGAAATGGTATGAACCGAGCTATCTGAGCCTCGAGTTACTTTGAATTTGACGTTGACAAATTTCCCCGCTGAATAAGGCTTTAGTACCTTGACAGTTGTGATCTTCTGTGAGCTCCATGTCAAGTACTGTGGCTAAGCAAACTCCAGATAAAACTCTAACAGATCCTGATCCACCTTCGGGTCCAAAAAGGGGATGACAGCAGTTGAGTTGAAGCAATGAAAGATAAATGCCTTTCGAGTGATTGGCATGTCAAACTGCGCATCCTTCGAGTTTTCAAGGCCGAACGACATGACAGGTTCAAGCTAATGATTACTCGGTTCATCTATAGAATCTTTTTGAAGCGATCCACTCTGGAAAAATGGACTTCTTTTTATCCAAGAGCTCCTTTTCTTTTTTGCTTCTTCTCCAGCTTAGTCGTTTCCTTCACAATCTTTTCTGCAAGCTCCTTGTTAGAAAGTTTTTCTTTCTGAAAAGGGTCAGAGGTATTTTCACCCAAAGTATCTTCAAAATCAACATCTTCATCTATATCATCTTCACCAACTTTCTTCTTCTTTTTATCCCTTTTACTGACCGAAGCTTCATTATCCTTCGGTGCAGCTGTTGATTTGGGTTCGGGAGGAGGTTGAGTATTAACTTTTTCCTTTTTCTTTTCTCCTCTTGTTTCGGATGGACAGAAGTCACCGAAATACCCTCGATATGACTAAGAAATGCCAACGCAGGTCTAAGTTTGTCATCTAAATGGTGTCGGATGGATATAGTCGGAATGGAGTCATGGGCGTCAAGAAGATGTAATAGAATGGAATGAATGTCACCCACAAAGCTTCTAATTACTTCTCTTTCAGAATTCAAATCATTAAGTTCAGTTGTGGCAGAACGAAGCCTAAGATTTTGCATTTTGAGTTGAGAAGTATGTTTGTGAAGCTCATCTATTATCCGATTTTCAACAGCCAGCTCGACTTCCAGCTGAGTGAGACGATCATGGACATTAGCATGAAGAGTGGCATTGGCAGCTTCAATGCCCTTTCGAGAAACTTCTAGATTAGTCCTTTCAGTTTGAAGAGAACATTAAAGATTATCAACTGAAGCATTCATAGTTTGAGAGTTCTTTTGAGCAGCAGCCTGTAAAGAATCAAGAAATATTTGAGCCTCATAAATTAGTTTATCGACTTTTGCGGTCGCTTCTTTGCACTCTTTGGTTATAGCCTCAACAAGAAGAGAGGCCTTCTGACACTGAGATGTAGAGGCATCAATAGACTTCACTGTAGCAGAGAGAGAAGCATCATGTTCTTTAACAACCGAAGAGAACAAGGCTTTGATAGCAGCTTCAGAATAAGCACCAATGGAGGAGGAGGAAAGCAGCTGATCAAGCTTTTCAGTAACAGCCTTGAGATGGCTCTTGGTGACTGGAGCATTTAAATCGTCATCACTTTGGACTCGGTAGGGACCGAAGTAAGTGGAATCAAACTCCAAGTCCTTACCTCTAAGAACTGTGTTGGTTTCAGTTGATTGGGTGGGAGATAGTGGTGTGGTGGTAACTGGAGGTTCGGTAGTGACTGGGGATTTGGTTGTGACAGGAGGAGTGGGTGCTGAAGAACGAGCCCCCGTATCAGATACGTTGGTTCGAACTCCAGTAGTGGTGGTTTTGATTGCATCAGAGAAGATAGGAGGGGGAATGGGAATAGTAGATGTAGGTTCGGATGTAATGACTGGGAAAATATGAGGGATTGAGACAGGCACAGAAACAGGTGGAGAAGAAGGTGGTTGAGATTGAATAGGTACTTCTGGTGTAGGCGAGCGAGGTGGTGTATCACCACGAACTGAACCTTCATCTGTTGAGCTTTCGCTGTCAGATTCACTGGGAGGAATTGGTGGTTGAATACGTGGCACATAATCTGAGTCGGAATCACTTGAGGATTGGAGAATTAAGTGACGAGCGGGTTTCTTGACTTGCTTCGCCTTCGGTTGAGTTGGTGCGGCCTTGTCGGACTTTCTCTTCCTAGGG